TCCCCGCCTTCCCCTCCCCGCCTCCTCTCGTCGGGCGCCTCCGAGTCTCCATCACCTGCCGGCCGCTCCTCCGCCCGCTGGCCCACCGGCTGCCCCGAGGGCAGGCGCTGCCCGCCCAGCCCAGGGGCTCGCCCTTCTCGGGGGCCGCTCCCCCGCCCCCGCCCGGCGCCGACCCCCGCCCGCCAGGCGCGCCCCGCCGGAGGACCTCTCCGGTCGGCCAGCACCTAGGGCGGCGGCAGCCGGAGCACTGGATCCTGGTTAAACCTTCCTGGAAGAGGTCTTCAGGGAAAGCGTAGGATCGATAAAGCTTAACCCCAGAGGAAAGGGAGAAAAACAAGAGGTGGAGGGAGGAGGACAAATGGAGCAGCGGAAATCTTGAACTTGAACTCCAAACGAGGATTGTTCGGCTAACTGGAGACCGAGGCACCAGCCAAGAGTTGGCGCTCCCGACGCATCGGTCACGGGTGGCCTTGGGGATGGTAAAGCCAGCGGGGCCTGGCTCCCCAGGCTGGAAGCTCTGGGGCGAGCGGCGAGCGCTGTTCGGGTGCGCTCCGGGTGCGCCTCGCAGGGGCGGGAGCGGTGGGCAGAGGGCAGGACTGGCCTGGTGCTCGCCACCACCGCCGCGCAAGCTAAAGCAAGGTGCTAACAGTGCGTGGCCAAGTCCTCGGCCCTATCCACCGCCCAAGTACAGGCTAACTCACATGGCCGCACACTGGAAGTGGATCAAGTAAAGTCAGGCTGAGTTTGATGGAAAGGCAAAGCCCAAGGTGATGGAAGCTTGCCACTGGTAAAACCAAGGAAACATTCTGCCTGGCTCCTAGGTGGACCTCATGACCACTTAGGTCTCCGCTGGACCACAGATTTGGCCTAAAAGTGGGGCCTAAACAGGCACTGAAAGAAACAGGTGTCAGTTCCTCACGGAGCCCTGGGAGGAGATTCCCTTTTTTTTTTTTTCACTTTAGAGCTGACATTTTCTCTCCCCTCTTTTCCCACTTCTGTCGCTCTTGCTTAGGAAAGGCACCCGAGAACTTTTGTGTTCTGTTTGCAGAGGAGGTTTTCAAGGCTCGCGTAATGCACAGACCTATTAACACAGTAACTGGGGCAATGGGGGTAAGTGTGTCGGAGTCATTGAGACTAGCTCTGGACAGGGCAGGCTTCAGAGCTGCTGTACATAGATAAGGTTGCTATGAGTCGCAGGCGCCTCAATGGCACTTAACAACAACAAACAGCCCCCTTTTCTCTAACTGCATTCTACTCATTTCTTCCATTGTTTCCTCCACCTTGATCCTGTCTATGTGCATCTTTTAATTTCTCAAAAGTTAAGATAGTCCGGTTTTTCCCAGATCACATTCTTAAAAGTCAAACAAGAAAATTATTTCAACCTACATTTTGAAGAGCATAAAAAGATTTACTTTAAAAAAAAAAACAAACAAACCACAAACAAAGCAGTAATCTCTTCTTGGTTTGCAAGTCTTAAGTGAATATGCTCCTGAGTTGTTTCCAATGAATATAATAACTGGGAACAATGAATCATAGGATTCTGGACTCCTCTTTCTAGGCTGAAACCACTAATTAGTATTGAGTGCCATTCAACTGCAATTTTAGTTAGCTTTTTTTTTTTTAATTTTAAATACTACATTCCTGTTTGTGCTAGGTAACATTTCCGAAGAAAGTGCCAAGCTTGGAAAACTTCCAAGTCAGGAGACAAGTTGTACTACAGTGCCTTTCAGGTTTGAGACAAACTGTTTGCTTTAACAAGAAATCACCGTATTCTCTTCCCTTTCTGTTGGCATAAAACACAATTGCTAGGGTTTACATAACCAAAAATGAGAAACTACAGTTGAAACAGTTTACTCTGAGATGAGAGACTTTCTCTCTGAATCTTTCTCCTACTGAAGGTTGTAATTTTTCATTTTCAAGAAGGCTGAATCCCCAACTCTGAAGCAATGATGCAGTTGTACCGCAGTATACTGAAGGGTTGAACCTTGAGGCAAAAAGCTTACCATTGTTGTTTTTGTTGTTGTTATGTATCATTAAGTCACTTAGGTCTCATAGCAACACTATGTAAAACAGCCCTAAACCCTACTGTGCCAACCTTATTGTCTCTCACATACCTACCCTCATTACCCCGGTCATTGAGTCAATCCACCTCATCCAGAGTCTTCATCTCTTTCACTGTCCCTCCACCCTTCTGAGCACGATGTCCCTCTTCAAGGACCAGTCCCTCCTTGCAGCATGCCCAAAGTATGTCAGAAGAAGCCTCAGGAATCCTTGCCTCCAAGGAGCAGCCTGGTTTCACCCTCTCTAGGATGAACCTCTTTTCTTCCCTGGCAGTCCATGGTATATTCAATACTCTTCTCCAACACCAAAGCTCAAAGACATCAATTCTTTTTCTATCCCTAGTTATTGTCCAGCTTTCTGAGGCATAGCAAGTAATTGCTAAGATTATGGCCCAAATCAGGCACACCTTAGTCTCCAGACTGCACTTCAGTACTCTGGAGAGGTCTCTGACAGCAGACTTTCCCAATGCAATTTGTCTTTTGACTTCCTGTCTGCTGGTACCAAGCGTGTTGGTTGTGGAACCAACCAAACTAAAGTTGTTAACAATCTCACTCTCTTCACCATCTATCATGATGCTGCCAATTGACCCAGTGGTGAGAATCTGTTTTCTTGACGTTCAGCTTCAATCCATATTGAAGGCTGCAGTCACTGACCCTCGACAGCAAGTGCTTCAGCTCCTCCTCAGTTTCAGCAAGCAGGGTTGTTTCATCTGCTTAACGCAGATTGTTGATGAATCTTCCTCTAATCTTGACATCATGCTCTTCCTCATAGAGCCCAGCCTCCCGGATGATCTATCTGTTCTGCATGTAGATTGAAAAGGTATGGAGATAGGACACATGCTGGGCATACACCCTTCCCAATTGTGAACCATGCAGTGTTTCCCTGCTTTGTTCTGACGATTGCCTCCTGGTCCAAGTGTAGGTTTTGCATAAGAACATTCAAGTGTTCTGGTATCCCCATTCTTTTCTGAGCTAGCCACAACTGCTAAGTGCTTCTAAAACAGGGAAGGAAGGGTGTCTAAGAGTAAGTAAATTAGTAAGATTCATTTTTCAAATTCTAGAGTTCCAAGAATACTGTCACTAAACCCTGAGTCACAAAACTCAAGCTAAGGGGTCTCCCAAGTCTAGGAAGTATGTATCAGAAAACTCTGGCAGAATTTAGCCTAAATTTTTTTTTTTTAGCCTAAATTTTTAAGGTTTTTTAAATCTCTTTTTCCTAGTTCAGCATTTATAATTATTCTTAAGGTATTAGAAGAAACCTTTGCCTCAGTATTATGTTCTTTAAAACAAAGGCTTAGTTGTCTTCTATTTTAAAATTAACTTATCTTCTCTAAATATTCATTATCTTTCTTACTGATAGTTTACATATAAAACACATAAACAGATTCCTAATTAGTAAATTTCTATTTTTGTTCTTAATGGGAACAGAGGTAATATTTGTCATTAATTTCCTTTGCTTGAGGTGGATCTGGCTTATCGTATTCCTGAAGAAGTTTGGATATGGGTCTTTGTTTCAGAAAACAGGTCACTTTTCTGACTTGATGCTGAGGCCAGACGTGTAGTAAGACTCCAGAGCTGAGAAATGCTCTTAGGTGACTGCTAAGCACCCTCTCTTCTCTATGAGTAAGAGTTACTGTTACCATGTACCAAGTCAGAATTGATTCATAACTGACCCTGCAGTTGGTTTTCAGAGGCAGTAAATGACATGGGAGGAGAGTGCCCGACTTTCTCTCAAGGTGGATTTGAACCGCAGACCTTTGCATTGGCAACACAATTGCTTGCCACAAAGCCACCAGCTCTGGTAACCTAGTGGAAAGAAATCATGCTGCAATTGCAAAGGCATGCAGTTCTAATCCACCAGCTGCTCTGTAGGGGGCAGAATGGGCAATTTCCTCCTGTGTGATTTACTGCCTCTAATAACCTGTGGAGAGTCAGCCATGGGTTGGTTGCAACTGGATGGTACACAACAAGAAGCCACCAGCGCTTACTAAAGCTGAGTTGCTGTTAGTTGCCGACAAGTCAAGTAAGACTCGTGACAACTTAATGAACAATAGATCTGAGCCTATCTTGTGCCATCATCACAATCTCCGACACCCTCAAGCCCATTGTTGCAGTCATTGTGTCTTGTCAACCCACTGGTTGACGATCTTCTCTCTTTCGCCTTCACTCCACTTTCCCAAGCATGATGTCCCTCTCCAAGGAATGACCTCCCCAAGCAACATATGTGAGAACAATGTATGTCAGATGAAGCTCCATCATCTTTGCCTCCAAGGAGCACTTTGGTGGCACCTTCTCCAAGACATACTTGTTTATTCAGCACTCTATTCTCTAACTACAATTCAAAAGCATAAACTCTTCTATCATCCTTATTCATTGTTCGGTTCTCAGCTGCATAGTAAGTGACTGAAAAGACCATGGCCTGAAACAGGTGCACCTTAGGACTCAAACTATTGTTCTTCAATAATTTAGAGAGGTCCCTGACTACAGACTTTCCCAGTGCAATATGTCTTCTGACATAATCACTTGTCTCCCTTAACTGTTCTTTCTCTGCATGATTGTCTCACCAGCAGAAGTTAAGATAAATAATACTCCAAATTAGATTGATTTATTTGGTATATATTATTGTTTTG